GAGAGAGAGAGAGAGAGAGAGAGAGAGAGAGAGAGAGAGGATATTCCTGTCATCTGGGAATAAGAATGCAGGAGGGTCCAAAGTTCACAGTTTGTCCTCAACTATATAGCAAGTTTGAGGGCAGCCTGGGCTACATGAGAACCCATCTCAAAAGTAAATAAGTAGAGATCTGAGCATGGTGGCGCACACTTTTAATCTCAGAACTCAGGGAGCAGAGACAGGCAGGTCTCTGTTATTTCCAGTGTGTGTGTGCGTGTGTGTGTGTGTGCTGAGACAGGGTTTCTCTGTGTAACAGCTCTGACTGTCCTGGAACTCGCTCTAGACCAGGCTTCCCTGGAACCCACAGAGATCCACCTGCCTCAGCCTCCCGAGTGCTGGGATTATAAGTGTATGCCAGCACGCCTGGCGAAAGGGTGTTTATAAAGGGCAGGGAGGGTGACAGAAGTCGGCCTGGGAAGACCTTTCAGTGTCAGAGCCCTTGCTGAAGCAGCACGAGGACCTCACTGAGTCCTTGTCACCTTTAACCCCCGTGTTGTGGGAGGCACAGGCGGGGATTGCTGGCTACTGGCCTATCTCTGGGTTCAGTGATAGATCCTGTGTCAAAGGAAATGGCAGGGCAGAGTACCTGGTGTCCTCAAATGCCTGCACACCGGTGCACACTCGTGTGTACACACACACACACACTTCTAGTGAAAGGACTAGGCTGGAGGTGCCTGGAGAGGCCTATCCAGCCTGGGCCAACCATCCTAACTCACCTCTAACTCTTATCTCCTAGGCCTGCCTGGGGCTTCTTCCTTGCTGCAACCGAGGTAGGGGCCAGGCACACTCATGGGCAGTGGGTATCTGACTGCTCTTTCTTCAGGCTGGAGGAGATGTGTGGGTGGAAGCAGAAGCAGAGGAAGCAGGAGCCCCTGGGTTCTACCTGATGGGTGCGGCTAGGAAGGGTCCCTGGTGCTGAGGACCCTTCCCCGCAGGTCACATGGTGGGCTTTAAGGAAGATCACTATATGCTTCGGGAGAACCTGATGGCCTCCGACCACCTGGACACGCCCATGCTACGGAGCGGGAACCTCAAGGGACGAGACACGGTCCGCTGGAAGATCACCAACAATGTGCAGCGGCCCGGCTTTGCCACCCATGCGGCCAGCACCAGCCCCACAGAGCTCGGTGAGGGCCAGGGCTGGATGTTGCCCTTCTTGGCACTACACTTAGGATCTCTGTTCCTGACCTAGGTTCATATCATTCCTGTTTTCACTGGGGGTTGGGTACAGGCCCAGAACTCAGTCTCTTTATGGCCCATCCTGATGGCAACAAAACTCTAGGGCCTGTGTGTACCTGGCACACTGACAACAGTCAGCCAGTTGTCCTCGGCCTTAGGCTGGTGTGTAGAGGTCACACTCTGCATAGTAGGCTGACAATGCCCATATCCCCCACCCAGTACCCTACGGGCTGTCCCTGCGCCTTGGCCGCCTCTGCACTGAGAACCTCTTGAAGCCCGGCACCCGAGAGTGTGACCAGCTACGCCAGGAGGTGGAGGAAAATGTGAGAACCAGAATCAGAGTAGGGGGCAGACCTGGGTGTGGTGGCCGCCTGTGGGAGAGCTGGGGGCTGCAGCCTCAGAACCTAGACTTTTTTATGCAGAAGGGAGAGGAGCTCTTTGGACATGTGCTTCCAATGGGGTCATCTTGGGTGGCAGCAGAGCCTGGGTTTCAGGGCTCATCCCTCAGCATATGGTAGCTAACCTTGAGAGGTGCTCTGGCCTGTCCTCAACTTTCTTCCCTTGCTTGCCAGCTGAACGAGGTGTACAGACAGGTGAGCGGCGCGCACAAGCTCCAACAGACAAAGTTCCGGTAAGTCGTGGGGAGCCCCAGGTCTGTGTGTGTGGTGGTGGTGGGATGCCTGCCTGCTCTGAGCCCTACCATCAGGCAGCCAGGATTCCCAGGTTTGGATGGGAGTTGTTCATCCAAGCTCCCACTCCAAAAGACGTGGCTCATGGCGACCTCTTTGTCCCCACAGACAGCAGCCCAATGCCGGGAAAAAGTGAGTTCAAGAGCACAAGGTGGGCAGTCCCACCTCCTTCCCTCCACCCTGAGCTCTACCCACCCTGCTCTAGCCCTCTGATCACACCATAGGAAGGGAAGGCCCTGAGTCTACCATCAGCTAGGCCCTTGATTCCTTCCTTTCCCGATCAATTCATCAAACAACTACTTGTAAGATGCATTTACCATGAGTCAAACCCTCAATTAAAACAAAACAGAGATCAGCCCCTGCCCCACCGGCTCATGGCCCTGCCCCTCCTCTCCCAGGGCCAGAGATTATGAGCCGCAGTTGCAGGCAGGTTGCCGAACAGACAGACCGGCAGGTCCTGTGGCTTCTGCCCTACCGGGGAGGGAATGTGAAAAGGAGCCCTACATCTAGTCAGAACTGGAATGGGCCACCCGTGGCCAGGCTCTGGCCAGCACCTCCGGGTGCTCACAATGGGCTCCATGTGCCTGGCCTTCTCAGCCAACACTCTCAGTAACCCCGCCAGAGTGTCACCCTTGCGAATTCCATGTTTCCAATGAGAAAACTGAGACTCAGGGATGTTAAGGCCCTGGTCTGAGGCGACCTAACTGTCAAGGACCAGAGCCAGAATTTTAACCCAGAACCTGACCTGAGCCTCCCTGCTGTCCCACACCCAGCCCTTGCATCAGCAGCTCTGTTTGGTGAGGTGGGTAGGGAGGCCCCTTCCTCAGGAGTAGCAGTGATTTGGCTGCAGAGTGGTGGAGGAGGAGCCAGCGTGGGCTTCCAGCACTGCCATCGCTAAAGACCCTGCACCTTCTGACTCACAACTTGTCCCTCCTCCTCCACTTGGACACACAATGCAGGCAAGACCACACCATTGTGGACACAGTGTTGCTGGCGCCCCGCTCCGCCAAGCAGACGCTACTGAAGCTGACAGAGAAGCAGGTGGAGCAGGGGGCCTTCCATGAACTCAAGGTGGCCCCTGGCTACTATACCCTCACGGCAGAGCAGGGTAGGTACACAGACTCCTTACGCTGCTCCCTCTCCCCCTCTCCCCACCACATGGCCCTGAGACCCGTGTCTGACTTGTACCCCAGACGCCCGGGGCATGGTGGAGTTCCAGGAGGGCGTAGAGCTGGTGGATGTGCGTGTGCCCCTCTTTATCCGGCCTGAAGATGATGATGAGAAGCAGCTGCTGGTGGAGGCCATTGATGTCCCCGTGGGCACTGCCACCCTTGGTCGACGGCTGGTAAACATCACCATTATCAAGGAACAAGGTTGGTCAGGGTTGGGGGCCCAAGGAGGCAGGAAGCAAGGCCTGGGCTCCTTGATCCTCCTGATATCCAAGTGGAAGTGGGACAGGACCATGGGGCCAGTCACTTACTCTCTGAGAACCTTAAAATCTCCATCTGTAAAATGGGTACAGGCCTTTGCAAGGAGGCCATGGCTGTGCCTTTGCATAGCACCTGGTACAAGTCAAGTGCAGCCACTGCTCAGTCTCTCCTCTGTCTTCTTTGTGGTGTTGGCGATGAAACCCAACATGGCAGGCAAATGCTCTACCACCGAGCTACAGACTCAGTCCAAGTGGGAATGCCACCATCTTTACTGTAATTTTCCGCCCACATCCAACCTTCCTTTCTCTGTTGAGAGGAAGACTTGGGTATGGCTTGGCACTTTGGATGCCTGAAAAGTCCTCCTGGCTCCCAAAGGTTCCCTGGCCCCTCCTCCCTGCACCAGGACGTTCAGCCCCAACTCTTAGGTTCTTGTCCCTGTCCCTACCTGACTTTCCAGGCTGCCTGCTGGACTTTTTCAACCCCTTCACTTCTTTATGAATAAATTTCCATCCCATTCCTCTGGAGCCTGGGATGGGAGGAGGGAGGAAAGTAGCTAAGAAGGAACCGAGACCAGGACCTGTTGACCAGCACCCGGGTTCCTTGCAGCTAGCGGGGTCGTGTCCTTTGAGCAGCCTGAATACTTGGTGAGTCGTGGAGACCAGGTGGCCCGCATCCCTGTCATCCGGCACATCCTGGATAATGGCAAGTCCCAGGTCTCCTACAGCACACAGGATAATACAGCACATGGACACCGGGTAAGGCTCAGTTGAGCGGGACTATCCAGTGATTTCCATGGTAGCTACCCCAATCCTGGGGTGTTGGCAGTATCCTTAGACAAAGATGGCGTGGCTGCCATCAGAAGTGGCTCACCCAAAGTGCCGAGAACACTCTGGGCAGGGTCCCATTACTGCCAGGAACTCAGGGCAAAGGGATCACTTCTCATGGATGGACCAGGTACCTACCGAAACCATCCTTGTATACTTGTGTGCTGCCCTTCAGTGACCCAGGAGAGCCAAGTCACCTGCCTGTCTAATCTAGTAGACTTTGGGGTTTTAATTATAAAAATTAAACTGGATAAAATGAAATTAAAATTAATTAATTAATTAAATTCTAATTGATTTAAATTAACAGGGTCTCAAACTGGAACTTGATTAGTAGACCAGGCTGACCTGAAACTCACAAAGATCCATCTGCCTCTACCTCTGCCTTCTGAGTGCTGGGATTAAAGGCCTGCACCCACCACCATCCCTGACTAAGGGCTTTTTAATTTTTAATTACTTACGTGTATGGGGGTTTTGTCTGTATGCATGTCTGTGCACCACACGCGTGCTCAAGGAAGTCAGGTGAAGGTATCAGATCTCCTAGGACTGGACTTAGAGACGGTCGTGAGCTGCCATGTATGTGCTAGGTGCTGGGATCTGAACCCTGGTCCTCGGGAAGAGCAGTCAGTGGTGCAAACCACCAAGCCATCTCGCCACTGGCTCCTCACACATGTTTTTAATGACAATGTCTCAGTATGTAGTAGCTTTGACTATCCTCAGTCGTGCTGTGTAGACCAGGCTGGACTTGAACTCATAGAGTTCTGCCTGCCTCTCCCTCTGAGTTCTGGGAGTAAATGTGTAGGCTACCATATTCTGTATCTTTTTTTTTTTGTTGTTGTTGTTGTTGTTTTATTTTTCGAGACAGGGTTTCTCTGTGCAGCCCTGGCTGTCCTGGAACTCACTCTGTAGACCAGGCTGCCCTCAAACTCAGAAATCCGCCTGCCTCTGCCTCCCAAGTGCTGGGATTAAAGGCGTGTGCCACCACCGCCTGGCCATATTCTGTATCTTGAGCCAGCCCCCCAATTCTGTCACTGTTGGTCTTCCCCAGGCTCATGCAGCCCTTCCTAACACGGACGGCCTTGACATGGTTACTGTCCCTTGATTCCCAACCAGTACTGGGAAGAATGAAAGCCAAGCCGTACTGGCAGACATGCATGTTTTCTTGGTTTTGGTTCTGAACTAGATGGACATGGCAGAACAGGCCTGTAATCTAGTACTCAAGAGGCCAGGGCAGGAAAATTACAAGTTCCAGTCATCCCAGGCTATGTAACAAAATCTTGTCTCCAAAACACAAAATAAGGGCTGGAGAGATGGCTCAAGAATTAAGAATGTGTACTGACTTGCAAAGCCACTCCAGGCAGCTTACAACAGCCTGGAGTTCCAGCTTCAAGAGAGCCTCTGGCCTCCATGCTCAGTCACGTTCACTCACGTGCAGGTGACCCCACATAGACCTGCATAAACACATACAATTAAAAAAAAAATAGTGGCCGGGCAGTGGTGGTGCACTTGGGAGGCAGAGGCAGGCGGATTTCTGAGTTCGAGGCCAGCCTGGTCTACAGAGTGAGTTCCAGGACAGCCAGGGCTACACAGAGAAACTCTGTCTCGAAAAACAAACAAAAAAAAAAATAAAATAAAAGTAGGGCTTGGGGTGTTCCTCAGTTGGCAGTAACCACCCAGCATGCGAGAAGCTAGGATTCGATCTTTCATGTACCATATAAACAGTGCATGGTGGCTACAGTCTCAGCACTCAGAATCTGGTAGAGGCAGAACTATCAGGAATACAAGGTTATCCTCAGCTACATACTGAGTTCCAGGTCCGTCTGAGCTACATGAGAACTTCAGGCCTGTTTGGCCAGCAGAGGGGAAACTACTGGCCCAGGCGACTGAACCACCATCGATTTCCTTACTCTGTCTTGTTGTTTTAGTTTAGGCGATTGCTACTAGCCCAGGATGGCTCACACTAGCAGATCCCTTGCCTCAGCTATAATAACAGCCGTGTGCCACCAGGCCTGTCTCTCCCTACTTTTCTCCCACCTACATACAGACTTCCTTTTCCTTTCTAGGCAATCTCCTATAGCTATCAGACTAGCCAGGCGTGTGCAGAATTGAACTGCTGATCTGCAGCGCCACCTAGTGCTTTTGGAGAGAAAGTCTTTTTCATCTCATGCAATTGGGTAACACTGCACGGGACAAAATCTAGGGGCTGAGCCTGCCGTGGTGGAGCACTCTTTTAATCCCAGCACATGGGAGACAGAGGCAGGAAGATCTCTGTGAATTCAAGGCCAGCCTGGTCTACAAAGTGAGTTCCAGGACAGCCAGGGCTATTCAGAAAAACATGTCTTGAAAAAATATTCTGGGGGTTTCAAGATAGCTAAGGGATTAATTTGAGTCCCAGCACCCACATGAGGTGGCCGATAAACCCAGCTTGAAAAGGTGCAAATCTGCCTCTCCTTTCTGGCCCCTGCCATGACTTCCATACACACACAGTAAACGATCAAACACTCTGAAGCCACATGGAGGGGAGGGGAAGAGAGGAAGAGAGTGGGGCGGGAGTGTTAAAATTTAAACATAGGAAAGCTAGGGTGAATGGGAGACCCATCAAGGGTCTGGGGCCCAACAGAATCCCTGATTTCAAAGCCACACTATAAGGGACAGATTGACAGACAGTTCTTTCCCTCCTGGGCATGCCCTCAATCCCAGCTGCCCTGGGCTAGCCTCCTGCCTGTTCAAGAGACCTCCTGTGCACTATCCTGGCGCTTGGTTCACACCCTAACCCTGGCTGACCCCGATTCTTTCTGTTGCAGGATTATGTCCCCGTGGAGGGTGAGCTGCTGTTCCACCCCGGAGAGACCTGGAAGGAGTTGCAGGTGAAGCTCCTGGAGCTGCAGGAAGTCGACTCCCTCCTGCGTGGCCGCCAGGTCCGCCGCTTTCAAGTCCAGCTCAGCAACCCCAAGTTCGGAGCCCGCCTGGGCCAGCCCAGCACAGCCACAGTTATCATCGGGGAACACCACGGTGAGTAAAGCCTAGGTCGGCATAAGCAGGTGGAGAGGAAGCCCCAGGACCTTCTAACAGGACTTGTCAAACCTGCAGCCAGGGCACGGTGTCGAACGTGAGTGTCACTTAACCAGCAGCAGGGTCATACACATCCAAGTGTCTTCCTGCAGTATCAGGAACATAGGTATTCTTGTTTTGGTTTGTTTTTCTGAAACAATGTCTCACTATATGTAGCCTTGGTTTTGTGTGTGTGTGTATACTTCAGTGTGTGGTGTGTGTGTATACTTTAGTGAGTAGTGTGTGTGTGGTGTAGTGTGTGTGTGTGGTGTATAGTGTGTGTCTATGAGTGTGTGTGTGGTGTATAGTATGTGTGTATACGTGTGTGTGGTATGTAGTGCATGTGCGTGCATGTGTATATATGTGTGTGTAAGTGTGTGTGTATGTGTGTGTGGTATGTAGTGTGTATGCATGTGCATGTGTATGCATGTGCATGTGTATGCGTGTGTATATGTGTATGTATGTGTGTAAGTGTGTGTGTATATGTATGTGTGTGTATATATGTGTGTGTATGTGTGTGTGTAAGTGTGTGTATATATTTATGTGTGTATGTGTGTGTGTGTGTACTTCACTGTGTGGCACTCAGGCTCAAGCTCAGGCTCTCGAGCATGACAAGTACCTTTCTTGCCAGAACCATACTTATTTTTTAATGTAATTTTATTTTACTATTTTTAAATTCTGTGTGCATCTGTGTGCCTGTGTGTGGGCATGTATACCTGACTGCTGGTCTCCACTGAGTCCTGAAGAGGTTTTGATCCCCTGGAGCTGGGGTTAAGGCTGCGGTGAGCTGACCCAAGGACTAGGAACTGAGCAACACATGCTCTTAGCCGCCGACCTATGAGAAAGCCGTTATCTGGAGCTCAGATTTATCTAAGCATCCTGTGCTGAGCCGACTGCCCTCATGACAACCATAAGTTGAGGTCATGTGGCCATAGGCAACAATCAACCCCACCCCCTTCCCAGAGAGTTCAGTCCTTAGCGACCCCTGTGAAGTACTCAGGGGAGGTCCCTAGTGAGCAGATGTTCTCTGTGGAACATTTCCTGGCCTGCCAAAAGAGGAAGAAGGCAGACCAACCCCTTCTCCTCACTTCTCCGGAGAGTCTTCTGGACTTTCACCGACCTGGCTGACCCCTGCTGCACCAGACCCCCAGAGGGTAGATGAGCAGATTTTTTTTTCCTTTTGTTTTTTGAGTCAAGGTTTGTTTCTATAACCTAGGCTGTCCTGTAGACCTTGAGCTCACAGAGATCCGCCTGCCTCTCAAGTGCTGGGATTAAAGGCGCACGCGGCACTGCTGCTGCACCACACACACACACACACACACACCAGTGCCCCGACCCCCACCCCCACCCTGCTAGATGACCTGATCTTTAATTGAACTTTTAAACTGGGGAAGCTGTGATGTTTAACAAAATCTCTGGCGCACCCTGGTGGTAACATACGGAGCCAACCACCTAACCTCCGCACCCCTTTAACTAGATGAAACGGACAGGAGTCTCATAAGTCAGACACTTTCATCGCCGCCGCCACCCCACGGAGACCTGGGCGCCCCACAGAACCCCAACGCCAAAGCTGCCGGGTCCAGGAAGATCCATTTCAACTGGCTGCCCCCTCCTGGCAAGCCAGCGGGGTATAGGGTAGGTGAGGGGTATTGGAGAGGTCTGTCACTCACCTTCTAGTGAGTAGACTGCCCCAAGGGAGGAGGAGGACACGCTTGGTACCAGTGGGCCGGTGAAACCCCATCTTCGACCCTGCAAGCGGGAAGACCCATTCCTGAGTTCTTCAGTTTTGTTCCTGGAATGGGGTCTTTGCCCAGCCTGGGGGACCCGCTGCTCCGCCTGAGTTTTGCTGAGAGCCACCAATGTCACTTGTACAAAGGGAATCCCAGCGCTTGCCGCTTCCCACTGAACACCCCACTCACAGGTGAAGTACTGGATCCAGGGCGACTCTGAGTCTGAAGCCCACCTGCTGGACAGCAAGGTGCCCTCCGTGGAACTCACCAACCTGTATCCGTATTGCGAGTATGAAATGAAGGTTTGTGCCTACGGGGCACAGGGTGAGGGGCCCTATAGCTCACTGGTGTCCTGCCGCACCCACCAGGAAGGTAAGTTTGCTGATGACTCTATCCACCTGGGCTACCCTGCTGTCAGTGTACCCAGGCCTCTCTCCCTCCCTCCCTCCTTCCCTCCCTCCCTCTCTCCCTCCCTCCCTCCCTCCCTCCCTTCCTTCCTCCCAGAACAGCCCTCCCCCTGCCCCTCTGATAGGGCTCTTTCTGTTCCCTTCCAGTACCCAGCGAGCCAGGGAGGCTGGCTTTCAACGTAGTCTCTTCTACGGTGACTCAGCTGAGCTGGGCAGAACCAGCTGAGACCAATGGCGAGATCACAGCCTATGAGGTCTGCTATGGACTGGTCAATGAGGACAACCGTAAGGACCAGATTTTCTGGGCTTCCTGGAGATGGAGGGGCATGGAGATGGGGGGAGGTGTGGGGTCTGTGTCATTTCTAGCCTTTTTGGCCCCTTATCCCCAGTCAAGCAGTAAGCCTGAGGCACTGTATGGTTTGGTTTTGTTTTGGATTCATGCTGGTTTGCATTCCAAGAGTACTGAGATTGTGTGTGTTCCCTAGGGTCACTGGCCCCGGGGAGGATACCTTTTTGTACAGGGAACCAAGGTTATTGTTATACATTTCTCTTAGGGCCAGAATAGCTTCCAAATTTAGCAGAATGTGAGGCAGGATTGCCACCTGAGCCCAAGAGTTTGAGAGCAGCCTCAGGAAGGTAGCAAGAACCCTTCTCAGGAAAACAAACAACAAACAAACAAAAAAGGCCTGAGAATGTAGCTCAGTTGGTAGAGTGCTTGCTTGCCTGGCACGGAAAAGGCACTGGCTTCAATCCCCCATGCTACATACACTGGCTGTGGTAGTGTACATCTGTGAGGCTAGCACATAGGAAGTGGGAGGCAGATGGATCAGAAGTTCAGAGCCATCATTGGCTACTTAGCAAGTTTGAGGCCAGCCTGGCATACATGAGACCCTGTCTCAAAAACTGAATCGCAAAACAAAACACCCACAAAAAACACCAAGAGAAACAAAGCAACATTAAAAACACAGAAAGCCTTGAATTTCAAATATATTTCTGTTTTTAGAATAGCTCACTCAAGGCTAGGAGTATTGCTCAGTGGCAGAATGCTTGCCTCACATTCGCAAGGGCCTGGGTTCAATTCCTGGCATTTCCCCTCACCATCACCCCAGATTTCATTCAGTATTTCAGTCCTGGAAGAGAGACAGTGGCTAGACAATCCCTGCCATCGATAGGAAACCATGAGAGCAGCCCACCTCTCCCCTGGGGAAGACTCACCTCAGCTGGCTGGTCCCAGTGAGGGAGAACTGCCTCCATATGACCAAAAGAACAGTGTACTACCTTGGTACTTCTTACAACCAGACTAGCCAGGAACCAAGCCTGCAGCCCAGGGAAAGTTCGTCTCTGATGGTTTCCTCATGGCTCCAGCCTGCTGAGACCCCAGCTATGTTAAGAATGTGTTGGACTACCTCCCTCTCCACCCAAGGGTCTGTGCTTTGGGACATACCTTTCCCCTCCACTCACGAGCTGACACAGATATGACAGCTGCTACCATGGTTGCTAGATGCCTTCCTTTCAGGCTGATGGCCCTCCCCAGCCACTGCTCCTATGTGGGCTGTCTGTGTCTTCTTTAACCCTTGCTGGCCTCAAACTCAGGGCAATCTCTGTCTTAACCTCCTGAGAGCTTTAATTACAGGCTTACCTCCAAGGTACTACCTGCTGCTTTAAAAACAAAACAAAAACTAGGGTCTCACAAGATAGCCCTGGGTGATGTGGAACTTGAACGGTTGACCAAGTTGGCCTCTTAACTCACAGAAATTCCCTTGTCTCTGCATCCCTAGTGCACCCCACACCCCTACTTGCTTTAAAATATTTTTTTTAAATTATTGCTGGGTGGTGGCAGTACACACCCTTAATCAGGAGACAGAGGCAGGAGGATCTCTGAGTTCAAGGCCAGCCTGGCCTACAGAGTGAGTTCCAGGACAGCCAAGGCTACACAGAGAAACACTGTCTGGAAAAACCAGTGTGTGTGTGTGTGTGTGTGTGTGTGTGTGTGTGTGTTTATGTGTGTGTGTGTGTATATGTGTGTGTATGTCTGTGTGTGTGTCTGTGTGTATGTGTGTGTGTGTGTGTCTAGGCACCTGCACGGCACACACACATGTACAGGTCAGAAGACAACTATCAGGAGTCAGTTCTCTCCTTCTACCATATGGATTCCAGGGATCAAACTAATGTCATCAGCCTTAAGTTAGCCATAACACACTGGGCCACTTTACCAGTTCCTGCACCCGCCACCTCTTGAGCATTCGTCTGCTGAGGGTGCACATCAGACCATGAAATTGTCCCTTTCCAAGACATCTTGGGAAACAGGGGCGTTACCTTCTTTTTGTGCTTTCTCTGGTTTTTTGGAACGGTTTCTTTCTGGAGCTGACCTGTTGGCCATGAGCACAGGGTGGAAGCCTTGGTCTTGAGAACACCCTTGCCTGCCACCTGGCCTTGTTGGTGGTGCCTTGTGTGCACGTGCATTAGCCAGTCAGTAGAGGTTGTGGCATGTTCACCTTGCATCTCAAGCCGCCTCTGCCACTCAACAAGGAGTCTTTCTGAAAAAGCTGGTGGTGGTGTTTTCTTACGCCTCGCACACATGGTTTTAAGGACTCAGCAGGAAGCAAGAGTTTAGCAGCTGTGTGCTCCCTGGCATCTCCAGGATCCAGGGTCAGATCTGGGACCAGGCTGAACCCTGGTGGTCTCCCTGAAGTACTGTCCCTGCCTCCAGGACCCATTGGACCTATGAAGAAGGTGCTCGTGGACAACCCCAAGAACCGCATGCTGCTCATTGAGAATCTTCGAGAATCCCAGCCATACAGATACACGGTGAAGGCGCGGAACGGGGCAGGCTGGGGACCCGAGAGAGAGGCCATCATCAACCTGGCCACACAGCCCAAGCGGCCCATGTCCAGTGAGTGACAGGCAAGGGTGGAGCTGGGGGATGAGAGGTCATGGCTAGGGTCTTGGCTTATTTCTTTCTCCCCCGCAGTCCCCATCATCCCAGACATCCCCATAGTGGATGCGCAGGGTGGAGAAGATTACGAAAACTTCCTCATGTACAGTGATGACGTTCTTCGTTCCCCAGCCAGCAGCCAGAGGCCCAGTGTTTCTGATGACACTGGTGAGTGGGACCCACCAGAGAAAGGTGGGGGTCCTTGGTGGGGCTGTCCCTGGTATCCAGAGAGATCAAAGAACCCAGTGACTGCCAGTCAATGGAGACCAAGAACAGAAGTACCTTCTCAGCCTTAGACAAGTATCCAGAGCCCATGGATTTGAAGGGACAGAACTGTTGTAGGCTACATGTACACACAACATGCGTGTGCCTGTATGTGTATGAGAACATAGGAACATCTACCTCAGGGTACAGAAATTCCCAGGCTAGCCGGGCGGTGGTGGTGCACACTTTTAATCCCAGCACTTGGGAGGCAGAGGCAGGCGGATTTCTGAGTTCGAGGCCAGCCTGGTCTACAGAGTGAGCTCTAGGACAGCCAGGGCTACACAGAGAAACCCTGTCTGGAAAAACAAAACAAAACAAAAACAAAAAAACAAAAAAAAAGATAGAAAGAAAAGAAAAGAAAAAAGGAAAGAAATTCCCAGGCTGGTGCATGTACACACAGGACATGCACACGGGACAACAGCTTTACAACCTGAAGGTTCACCTGCTGTCCTAGGTCAGGGCTCTCAGGCCACCTCCTAGTGGTACCTGTGTGAGAGAGCCCAGGTGCCTTAAGCCCTGACAGAGAAGGGAGGTGAGCCACTAAGGTAGACACACCCCCTGGCTCTCTTCATTTTCCCTTGATTTCTCACACAATGTGGTACAAAGAAAGCCCCTAGCTGGGACTCCTCCTATCACAGGGTTTGATCTGGCTGTGCTGTGGAATTGTTAGGTGACTCTGAATCACTCGTCCATCTCAGAACTAACTGGCTTTCTAATCTGTGAAACTGGATACAAACCACACAATGCCATCAGGAAAAAGAAGGCCCTTTCTGAGTCTAAGGCCGGGGATGGGCACGGTCACTAGTGAGGCGAGCTTGGCATGCTAAGCTGCTTTTCTTCTTCTTTTCCTGGTGTTGGGAAGGATCTGAGTCAGGCTCTTGCTAGATTAACAACCTGGCTGACCTTGAAAACCGGGATGGCCACAAATCTCCAGCCATCTTCCTGATGCTAGAATCTAAATGACAGTTTTACGAACCAGGAACCCCTGCTTGAATACTAGCACCCTAGGGCTTCTACTGCTTTTCCTGGAAAACAGACAGGGGTGAGATTACTCTCCTTTGTACAGAGAGGAAACAGGCTCAGAGCTGTTAAAAAAAAAAAAAAAAAAAAAAAACAGGAAAACTGCACGCTGGGAGACAACACACGGCTTTCTCAAGACTCCCGCAGCAGACTGGCCTTTGTGTCTGAGCAGAGGCCAAACTCACAGTTTATCTGAAAGGCTAGAGCAGGGCAAGGGTTTTTTCTTGTCTGAAGGGATACCCACACCCCTGGACTCCGCGTAAGTGCTGCAGGCCATCTCCTCCTCCTGACCCTCCCCGGCGGTGCCAACGCGGCCCTTCGTTGTTCCCAAGGCAGCGGCTGGAAGTTCGAGCCCCTGCTCGGGGAGGAGCTGGACCTGCGGCGCGTCACGTGGCGGCTACCCCCGGAACTCATCCCGCGCCTGTCCGCCAGCAGCGGGCGCTCCGACGAAGGCAGCAGCGTTGCGGGGGGCGTGGAAGGGGAGGGCAGCGGCTGGATCCGCGGGGCTACGCCCCGGCCCCCGGGAGGTGACCGCCTTGCCGGCCACGTCCGCCTCTCGGGTCCTAGGCCCAACTGAGTTGCTTTGGGTTCCCAGCTTTGGTCAAGCCGCCCACTAGAGCGCCCTGCCAGCCCAGAATCTCCATAACTGCTTTCAGACAAGCCCCGGGAACTCAAGAGCGCCATGGGGAAGCGCTTGGGCTCTCCCCAAGGGAGGATGAGGGCAGCAACTTCCAGGAACTGGAAACCTTGGGCCAGTGTCACTGCAGGGGAATGAGCCTCTAGCTGGGCTAAGTGCTCGGGTGGAGGGCAGCATGGCGCAAGGAGACCGGATTGGAAGACTTGTGTGGTCTCCTATTTGCCTGTGGGAATCCAGGGTCTTGGTCGTTTGAGATTAAAGCTGCCCTGTGCAACCCCAGGGCTACCGCCTGCCCCATATGGCCTGTCACCGGCTGTGGGCCTCACTAAATGACCTCTCTCCCCACGCAGAGCACCTGGTGAATGGCCGGATGGACTTTGCCTATCCAGGCAGTGCCAACTCACTGCACAGAATGGCTGCAGCCAATGTGGCCTATGGCACGCATCTGAGCCCACACCTGTCCCACCGAGTGCTGAGCACGTCGTCTACCCTGACCCGGGACTACCACTCTCTGACGCGCACAGACCACTCTCACTCAGGCACACTTCCCCGGGACTATTCCACCCTCACTTCCCTTTCCTCCCAAGGTGAGTGACCCCTGCCCCGTCTGCTGACTGTCCTACACTCTAATCCCTAGACAGCCGCCAGTCTGCTACCCACACCTGCTACACACACACACACACACACACACACACACACACACACACACACACAAACACACCGCCGTTCTCACTCTTGTTTTGTCCTGCCCTAGGCCTCCCTCCTATCTGGGAAGATGGGAGGAGCAGGCTTCCACTGTCCTGGGCCCTTGGGTCCTGGAGCCGGGCTCAGATGAAGGGTGTGCCCGCATCCAGGGGTTCACCAGACTCTATAATCCTGGCCGGGCAGTCAGCAGCGCCCTCCTGGGGTACAGGTAGTACAGGGGTGGTCACCATGTATCCATGGCTGTCATGCGCCATTTGTCACCCAGCTACCATCACAGCCTGTGCCTGTGCACTCGCTCACTGCTTCATTGCATACAGAACCCCAGTCCACCCACAGGAGCTAACCACTACCCTGCCTGCCCCCATCAGTGCTGAAGCCTAACACATCTGCCCTCCTGGGGTATAAAGCTAAAGAGCTGAGCAAGGAGCAGGGCCAGTTGTAGAGGGGGTGGGCTGAGGAGCCTAACAGACTCAAGGGGACTCCAAGGCCATGTGGAAGTGTTGGGCAGCCTGGACAGGTTAGCATGAAGCCGTGACATGGCTGGAGAGGCAAGCAAGGGCTAGACTGTAACTCATCTCAGACCCCAAACCCTGTCTTGGACTGACTGTTGCCTTCAATAATCCAGACTCCCGTGGGGCTGTGGGTGTGCCTGACACACCCACTCGGCTGGTGTTCTCCGCCCTGGGGCCCACATCTTTGAAGGTGAGCTGGCAGGAGCCACAGTGTGATCGGGCGCTGCTGGGCTACAGTGTGGAATACCAGCTACTGAATGGCGGTGAGGCATAGTGACTGTTGGCGGTCGTCTCCAGGCATGTCCAGTCCCAGTTGGGCCAGGTCCCCTCCAAGTCAGCTGAGGCTTCATTCATCCCTGTGGGCTTTATTCTCCATTTCTTCAACTAGGTTTTACTTAATGGGACTTCATAGACCTAGGGCCTCTGCTAATCAGTATAGCCCTGTAAGAACAGGGAAATGAATACCCCTGGGCAGACACAGTCACCAGAATGGGGGCTTTGACCAGAACACTGGTGGGATTTCTTACATGTTAAGTAAAGGCTCTACCATGGAGCTACAATGCCCATAACCCACTCACACTCACTTCAATCAACAACCCCCCATAGTACACTGTACCAAACCCCAGCTGCTGATAGCAGCCTAACAGAAGGGAGGGATACAGCGAGGGCCCTGGAGTGAAGGTGGTGTCTCCTACCCTCACTCCACCTCTCAGGCGAGATGTATCGGCTCAACATCCCTAACCCTGGCCAGACCTCGGTGGTGGTAGAGGACCTCCTGCCTAACCACTCCTACGTGTTCCGGGTGCGGGCCCAGAGCCAGGAGGGCTGGGGCCGAGAGCGAGAGGGTGTCATCACCATCGAGTCCCAGGTGCACCCGCAGAGCCCTCTCTGCCCCCTACCAGGTGAGCCGCCTGCCCCCTGCTGCTGCCTAGTTCACCACCCACCTACTGCCCGCGACTGACGCTCTCCCTCTGCTGTCTCCAGGCTCAGCCTTCACCCTGAGCACACCCAGTGCCCCAGGCCCACTGGTGTTCACTGCCCTAAGCCCGGACTCTCTGCAGCTGAGCTGGGAGCGGCCAAGGAGGCCCAATGGAGATATCCTTGGCTATCTGGTGACCTGTGAGATGGCCCAAGGAGGAGGTGCCAGCTGCCCTGGAAATAAGATGGTTGTGGGGGTGGGTGGGGAGGTACCACAGGATCTGAAGGCATTTTCCCTATGCAGGACCAGCCAGGACCTTCCGGGTGGATGGAGACAACCTCGAGAGCCGACTGACTGTACCTGGCCTCAGTGAGAACGTTCCTTACAAGTTTAAGGTGCAGGCCAGGACAACCGAGGGCTTTGGGCCAGAGCGTGAGGGCATCATCACCATAGAGTCTCAGGATGGAGGTGGGCTGTCCCCGGTTCTTACCCCAGTCTCTCCCAGGCCGGCCTTGCCTTGGCATGACACCATCCTGACCGAATGATCTGCCTGTTCCAGGCCCCTTCCCACAGCTGGGCAGCCATTCTGGGCTTTTCCAGAACCCAGTGCAAAGCGAGTACAGCAGCGTGACCAGCAGTCACAGTACCACTACTGAACCCTTCCTCATGGGTGAGTCCCCAAGCTCTGGAGACTCTGGCTCCTGGGAACGGCCAGTGCAGAGAGGAGCTGGAACCTGTACTCCGCCCTTCTCATTCCTTCCCTTGCAGATGGACTAACCCTGGGGACCCAGCGCCTGGAAGCAGGGGGCTCCCTCACCCGGCATGTGACCCAGGAATTTGTGAGCCGGACCCTGACGACCGGCACTCTCAGCACTCATATGGACCAACAGTTCTTCCAAACCTGAACTCCTCAGTAGCCCGGGCCCCTCCTTGCCTCCTCCCCTAGCACCTTCTTCTCTGCTGTTCTACCCATCTGCCTGCTGACCACAGAGCCAGCCCCTGTAGTCAGAGAGCAAGGGGTAGGTGCTGTCTAGGAAGTGTGAAGTAGGCAAAGGTGACATAAGGCCTTTCTGACTTCCTCCTGCCCTGGGTCCAAACCCACATGTAACCAAAAACTGGAGCTGGCACAAGGACCCAGCCTTTGTTCTGCACTTAATAAAAGATTTTGCTACTGCATAGCCTCTCTGTCCATTCTTCACAGGCAAGGGTGGTGTCCACCTGCAGTAGGAACACTGATTTCCACAATCCTCATTCTCTGACCCCAGAGCATGTTACCCACCTCTAGAGCCAGGTGGCTACCACCGTAAGAGGCACACGTTTATTAAGCACCCAGATATAGGAGGAGGATGCCCGAGGCAGAGCTGCGGTACACACCTGCCGCCTCTGCCTAATGCCTGTGTGTCCACTGGTCTCAGGGACACCTCACAAGCTCAGCACCTGGGCTCCGTCGGCAGCATGGGAGAGGTAGAAGGTGGCAGTCCCGCGGTACTGCTCCTACAGGAGAAGTGAGGCTGAGGAATGAGTGGCCTGGGTGGGTACCCACCCCTCCTGCCCTCCAGGGCTCTGGCAAACACACCCACCTGTATGTGATCCACGACAAGGGGGGCAACAGAGGCTTCCAGCAATGTGACGGTGCAGCCACCAAAGCCACCACCTGTCATGCGACTGCCATAAACCCCAGGCACAGAGAGCGCGGCCTCAACCAACTGGTCCAGCTCAGGGCAGCTCACCTCAAAGTCATCTCTGCAGAGGACATAGGGGTGAGGAGAGGGACCTGGGACCTGCCTATGCTGGAGAAGCACAGGGCACCCAGAAGGCCTACCTGAGTGAGTAATGACTCTCCACCATGAGACGCCCAAAGGCCTTGTAGTCTCCCCGGCTCATAGCAGCTGCTGCCTGGGCTGTTCGCCGGATCTCGCTTACTACATGCCGGGCCCGCCGGAAGCCCTCCTTGCTCATCAGTTCCCTGCCAGCTGAGAAAGAGCAGAGTTCAGCAGCCTCATCTCATACCACCTGTTGCCCCATGGTGTGGGAGGGAAACATGGTGGGCAGCTGTTCCCTGAGCCCTCCTCAGTAAAGGCGGGGTCAGACAGGACTGGCTTGATTATCCTGGGCCTGGTTCTGAAGGTCCTGTCCTCTCAAAGCTCTCTTTGTCCTGTACAATAGGACAACTGCATCTCCGCATCACTTAAAGTCCCAGAACATTGCCGGAAACAACACGTAGTTCTCCCCACAAGGAGCCAGCATAGAGACTGCTCAATACACAGCTGCATGAGCCTCTAACATGTGGGGCTTTCAAAATGAGTGGGACAAAGCACAGGCCTTGAAATCAAGAGAGGACACTCTCTCCTCTACATAGTCCAGGCTTGCCTCAAACTCAGAGACCCATCTGCCTCTGCCTTCTGAGGGCAGGGATTAAGATGTGCTTGCGCCACCATACCTGGCTTAAAAGGGCAAGCTTAAGATTTCAAGCAAGGCAGGGACGTGGCTCCTCACTGGCACAGCACTTGGATCTATTCCAACAGTAGCCCTGCTGAACCCTGGGTTTGCAGTATGGGGGCGGGGGAGTGAGCAGGTCGTAATGAATAGACTTGGGGATGAGGGAACAGACGGACGGATATACGGACATCTTGGTAGGGAGCCCGGCCATTTCTACAACAGAAAACGAGAAACTGGCTCTTACCCTCAAGTTCCTCCATCCGCACCTCGCGAAGGCTCTCCTTGCCCAGGGCCTGGGCCACTTCTTCACATTGGCGCCGACGAATTGGGTACTCACTGGAGCCCAGGGAATGGCGGACATTGGAGTTGGTGATGAGCACAGCCAGCTTGGGGTCTGACAGTGGCACCAGGCTTGTTTCCAGGGACCTGGGGTGAATGAGGTTGGAATGGGGGGAGAGGTCACAGCCAAGAGTCTGCTTCCCAGACCAACCAGTGGGCACACTCCATTCAGGAGCTCCTGGTTATGAGGTAGGGAGATATGAGGGGGGCCCCTGACCTGCAGTCAATGAGTAGCGCATAGCCTTTCTGCCCCAGCAGAGCGATGATCTGGTCCATGATGCCACAGGGCACCCCTGCGAAGCTGTGCTCAGCCCGTTGACACACCTGGGCCCGGGCAGCTATTGACCCCGAGTCTGCAGCACAGGGTGAGGTGGGGAAGCTGGGGTCCAGGAGAGGGCTTGGGGGTGGCCACCAAGTAGCAGGGCTCCGAGGGCAATCAAAGGGACTCCCCACCCTCCCTCCCTAAGCCCAGGAAAGGAAGAGGCTCTGACCACAGAGGCCTCTGAGAAGGAAAGCAGAGGCTAAGTGATACCTGGGCAGAGCTGCTGGAGGAAGGTGTATGTGGCCACTTCCAGAGAAGCTGAGCTGGAAAGCCCACCCCCCAGGGGCACTGAGCTGACCACCACTGCACTGAAGCCAAGGAGGGGGGAAGCTGCAGGGGAAAGAAGGATGCTGGTAAAGATGGAATGCTGGAGCACGGATGTAGGGAAAACACGCGTCTCCCCAGTCTGCTGAGCTCAAGGGGCCCACCCACCCTCCATTCCGCTGCCCTCTGGGGTGTGCTGGCTTAATCTTCCTGATTTAGGGCTGCAGAGACCAGCAAGCTAGCAATGGAATTCTAGCTCCTCTAAGCATATAAAGGAAACCTAGGGCAAGTTCCAAGCCTCTTGTTCCTTATCAGGACAATGAGATGGTCCACCCTGGAGGAAAGACAATGGATGATCCTCCCTGGAGGAATGACAACCGGGTGCTCTGATCCTGGATGAGGGGATGAATGGACTTTGTAGGGGTGAGATGGCATTCCCAGAAGCAACCTAAATCCCATACCTGGGTAATGTTGAATCACTCCCTTGACATAATTGGCCCACTGTGGGATTCCAGGCTCCAAGGACCACTGCTCTGAGGGCAGTGGGAACTGCAGTCGCTGGGGCTCATCGGCATCTTTGGAAGTGGTGAGAAGTGAAACAAGCCCATCTGTCCGGGGGCTGCCAACCATCACAGTCACAAGCTCCAGAGCCTGGAAAGAGACCGTGTGTGCAGTTTATACTGCCTGGCAGAAGTCCACTCAGGGCCATATCATGGCCACAGAATTTATTTTTGCTTTTTGTTTTTTTAAAAGTTTTTGAAGGCAAGGTGTAGTCCTGTCTAGCCTAGAACTCTCTATGTAGACCACGCTAGCCTCTAACCAAGAGGCCCACCTGTCTCTATTCCAGAATGCTGGGACTAATAAAAGTATGTGGGTAGAATATCCCATTGCAAACTACAAATAGAAGACTCAGGTCCCTGAAGTTCTAGAACTTGCCTGGGTCTCCCCAGGGTGACTGAAGTAATCAGGATTCAAACTCCAAGGTTCTGTTGTCTGGGACAGACAGGGACATACATGAAGGGAACAGGTTTAGCTTGAAGGAGATGTGAGAAGGATCTTCAGTCAAGAGCTAGCCTTGGGGGCTTAGAGCACAGCCTCCTGGGTCTTTAGGGGCGGGGCCAGTGACGATAAGAATTCCAACCTGGACTCTGCCCTAGCTAGTCCAGCTGTGGGCCAAAGGGGACAGATAGCGATCTTAGGCAAAAACAGGCCCAGAGGGGCTCCAGACTTCCTCCCACCTGGAGCCAGCTCTGCAAGCTGTAATCCCTCATTCAGGAACTACACATGCGCTGACAGAGACTCAGGCTGGAAGTCCAAGAACAGGCTGTGTGACTTTGAGCGAGTCTTTAGTGCTCTATGGATCTGTTTTCTCTGTAAATTCAAAGGGGTGGGCGAGGGGAGCTACATTTACACAGGTCTACCTTTGCATAGGTCTAGGTCAGTGCTGTGGGCCCAATCAAAGTCAGAGGACTAAATAACCTTTTCTTTCTTCTTCTTGTTTTAAGAATCTTACTCACAGCCCAAACTGTCCTGGAACTCACTTTGTAGTCCAGGCTGATCTTGAACTCGTGGCAATTCTCATGCCTCACCTTCCCCAGTACTGAACTATTAGGAATGCACCACCATTCCTAATAATCTCGTATATTGCTAACTTGATCCTCAAATTTTTAAAAGATTCATATTTCCAAGTTGAGGGCGATGCCCCCAGAAGGCGGGCTTGAGAAGACAAACGCACATCCCCCCTCCCCCAGCTCTGGCTTCCTGTCTTCGCACGTGGACAACTGCACGTCCCGGGGTCTCTCATGTCTGCTAGACCGCCTCACTCCGCCTTCCACCCGGAGGGTACCCGCCCTCCCGTGCCCCCTACGCCAGCCCTTCCCTACCGCAGGCCGGGCCAGCACACACAAGGAAGGGTCCCCAATGCGGCCCCTCACCATGGGCAGCACCAGGCCCTGGTTGTAGTCCGTGTGCTCCCCGATGAGGTTGACGCGGCCCGGCGCCGACACTGCCAGCTCCGGCTCGGCTCCAAACTCCTCCATGAAGGCCCGTCGGGCCTCGGCCAGCAGCTCCTCAAGCCGGGGCGGTCTCCAAGCAGCCATGACGCTCGTCTGCAGCTGGGCGCGCCGCCCCGCGGGATGCTGGGGGCGGAGCCACGTGGCGCGGACTTACATTCCTGTCCTTCGCAGAGCTCCGCCCCCGCCACGATGGCCCCGCCCATCCCACCTGCAGAGCAGGGTTGAAACTCTGCCCTCCAGAGCAAGCCAACGCGGCAGCTGACAGCCGGAGGAAGAGACCCACTTGGCGATGTCTTAGCAGGACTTTGAGGCTCCCACTTGAGTAGCAGTTAACACAAATGGAGATCTGAACTTCCCTTCCATCCCTGAACCTGGAGCCTCTTAATCATCCCCGAGACAGTCAGGGCAATGGAGCTGGCAACAGGAACACCTGAGTGTCCCAGAAGATCTACCTCCCAGGTCTTTAGAGCGAAGTTATGCTAAGTCGTCAGTCCCTGATCATATGTCTCTAACAGGGTGATCTGGTACACAGTCTAGGGATAAACAAGAAGATCCAAGGTTGAAGGAGACGAGAGACGTCACCTTTTACAGGCTCCTTTTCTGGCTCCTGGCGGATGGGGAACTGAAGGAGTTCATCTCATCCAGTGGCCAGACCGGAAGCAAGCTCAGGCCCTCCTCAATGACCCAAAGGCTACTGCAAAGCTGGGTTATGTTGTTGGACCCCAGCAATTGCTTCCTTGGTCTCAGAGACATGACCATCTTCCTAAAGCCTTCACGCTGGCCCAAATCTTTGCCTG